GACCAAACTCAAAAGTACAGCTTTGTAAATATCGCTTGACAACGCGTTCGTGAGAATCAATTGCTCTAAAACGTGTAGAGAGCGAATTACTAACGATTCACATGAGCAAAGCAAATTGAATACCGATTTCAACGTAGAAGGGGTTCCACTCGCTTTTAAAACGTTAATCCAATTCAAATTGGGATCGTCTTCTGGAGCATCTAGAGCCATGGTTAAGACAACGAAGTCGTGGTTCAGTGGGTTGGACAACCCCATTATCGTCAGTATTAATTGCATGCTATTATAAATACGAAAAATTCTAAACAACCACTGAATTATCACCAGTCCTTCATATACGTTCCAGCAATGGCCAACAGTAAGCAACACATCACTGATGAGCTTGTGAATTAGTCTTTTTTCATCATTTCCAATGTAGTTAACACCAGTTTGTGTGGCTATAGCCCATAATTTTTTTACGGGCTGCGATAGTTTTTCGTAAAACGGATTTTTCTGGCTTAACACGGCTAACGCATTAAGCACTTCAAAGTACAAATGGTCACTAAAACTCGTTAAAACAACACTTACTTCGTAAATTTGTCAATTTTTGACTTTAGCAAAACATATTGAGTCCCTTTTGTCATAGGCAAGTTTATAAACACATACTTGTTATTACGAGCAAAAGATATTTTTATAAGCCGCAAGTATAAAAAAGAAATTTTTCAAGAATTAATTATAATCATTAATACTGATATTTAGAGCGGCAATGTCCAGAAAAAAATATATAACCTTAAAATATAATGCCATGCGTTTTAGGCAATTATATTGCAAATTTGTTTCTTTTTCAGCAAATACATTAGAACATGTCACCGATGATAAATGAGTCGGAACTAAGGAAAGAATGGCACGATTTAGTAGCTATTGATAAATTCAGTATGTTATCAGGAAAAAAATTTTAGATTTTGAAAACATTAGAACCAAAGCAACCGAAGCGGTGAAATTTCCGAAGCTTAACAGATACAACTCGATAAAACCATTTAACTTTAACCGAATAGTTTTGACCACCAACGAGAAGTACGTCAATGCTTCCTGGATTCAACCCCTAGAAGACGACGAAACAAAATACATTGCTTCGCAATGTCCGTTGCTCCACACAATGAGCGCATTCTGCGAAATGTTGCGCGCTCACAACGTCAAAGTTATTCTCACTCTGGGCGGTGACCTGGCGGAAGTCGAGTTGAAAAAATTTTATCCGTACTGGCAGCTGCATGGCCGATGCTACGAAGAATATACGATAGACATCGACAGCATGCAGAAAACCGATTCTGTCGTCATCCGACAGTTAACAATATCAAAAAACGACGTGGAAGTTCACAAATTAACACACTACCATTTCTTTCAGTGGGAAGATGATTGCGCTCCTGATGTTCGAGCATTGAGCGATTTTCTGCTCAGCTTCAGCGAAAAACACGCTTCTTTGCTCAATCATAACAAAAACGGAAATATCCTAATTCATTGTTCTGCCGGTGTTGGCAGAACCGGAACGACTATTATTGCTTTGACTCTTATCAAACTGTTAAAGCGTAATTTGCTCGAAACCACCGATGTTAAAAACTTAATCAAACGCATCAAGGAACAGCGCGTACTATCTGTTTCGACTTTCCCTCAATACAAATTTCTTATCAAGTTTAAAAATTATATATCAACAAACAATTCATTTGTTTCAAAACGCGTTTGATAATTTTATATCGCTCTTAGTTTTTGTTATCATGGTTTATCATTATAGTTTCAATGCAGAAAGCCAGCTGTTCAACGGTAATGACGTAAGATTTTATTTCAATGAAGAACTGGAACTAATTGTTCCGCAGAGCCACCCTTTCTATGTTAATACGGCATTTATAAATATCCGTTGGGGAAACTCGCAAACGGAAAAATTTAAAATCCAGGGAGACTTTTTAAATGGCTTTTCTCTCAGCATTCAACTGAAATGCAGTGGCACAATGAAGATTTGGCTCAGCAAAATGGTGGAAGACGAAGAGTCGCGGTCTGACGCTTCTTACGCCATGGTTCATGGCCGTACCAAAACTGAAAACCGACCTCAAGATCTTCTTATTGTTACGGTGATCTCACATCGACTTAACCAGCTTTATAAATGGCACGAACAGTTTAAGTTTTTACGAAAACTTGGATATACTACTGTGCACTTAACGCCTTTAGTTAAGCGAGGTGCCTCAGGCAGCGCATACAGCATCCAAGATTTTCACAATTACTCCGAAAACTTTATCGATAAAACTATCCCAAAACCTTCACAGCTTAATCTGATCCGGGCGGTATTTAAAAGTGTTCCAAATCTGAGTTTTATCACCGATCTCGTTTTAAATCACTGCAGCTTTGACGCGCAAATTATTCGCGACAATCCAAACTGGGCTTACAACCAGATAAACAGTCCATGGCTAAACTGCGCTATTTGCATTGATGAGCTATTTTACAATTTGAATGCTGACATAATAGACAACAAAATAGACGGATTAAACGACCAGATCGACTCAGAGGAAAAAATTAATTTGATTGTAAAAGTATTTCAGAGCAGACTTGCTTTGAAAGAATGGTTTATGATAAACGTAGAAAAAACAATAACAATGTTGGACGAAAGCAAAAACGACGCTCTAAAAAATGATCAGCCAGAACTTTCGCGACTCGAAAGTTACAGCCATTTTTTCTCTCAAAATGAACCGGCTGACGAATATGAAATTAGCAAACTAATGGCGGAATTACGTACTTACGTAGGGACAAGTAAGAATTTCGTGTTCCGTGGTATCGTCAATTTCAAAACCTTAATTAACAAACTTACCCTTTCAAAATGTATTAGTTTAATACAAAAACAGTTACAGGCTTGGGAGAAAGAAGTTTACGAGTCAATAATATTTGCTCTTAAAAGCTCTCTTTACGGCAAGCTTTCACAACCCAATAAAACCATTGAAAAAAACCATTGGAACTGCATTATGCCTAGGTATTTCACCAAAATTCAATACAAAGATCAGTTGAATACGGAATATTATTTAGCTAACAACGGATGGATTATGAATTGGGATAATTCGAAGTCTTTCATTGGCCCCGGCTGTTTTATTTACATGTCAAGAAAGCTCAACTGTTGGTCTGATTGCGTGAAATTTCGGTACGAGCAAGATTCGCAAGACCTGATTGATTACATGATTCAATATGCAAAAGACACGGCAGAATTATTTGATGGAGTTCGTATTGACAATTGTCACACAACGCCGCCTTGGATTGGAAGATTGATCACTTCTGCAATGAGACAAATAAAACCTCATTTAATCGTGTTTGCTGAACTGTTCACAAATTCTCCTGCGCACGACAAAGCATACAGTAGAGCTTTAGGAATTGATCTGTTAGTGCGCGAAACTTTGCAAACGTACAACGCAGCAGATTTGGTTTACTCAATTTATCGAAACGCCACAATAACCCATAAGGAATTTTTTGGCAGCGCGATAAGAGAAATCAGCTTGTTACCAAACTCGTTGAAGTTTCAAGAAACTCTTAACTACGGTAAGACATACGGACTAGCCGGTTGTTATTTACACGATTCTGGCTCAATGAACTTGTTTTATGATTGTACTCACGACAATGAAACGCCTATAAAGTTGAATAGAGGAACGGATTTGTTGATAAACACAGCGGTTGTAATTTGGAGCGGTTGTGCGTTAGGGTCGGTATTTGGTTACGAATTTTTGCACAACGTAAATCCGAGTGTAGTTTACGATAATGCTTTTTATTCAGATCTGTACAATTACGACTCTGTTTCTTTTGACAACAAATTTATTAATATAGACAAAAAATCTAATACCATACACTTTAGGGAGACCGAATTTATGAAGAAATATAGAAATTTGAAATTAATAACAAGTGCAGATGGTTGGAAAAACAAGTACACAGTAAAAATAAAATCAGACGACTCGGTTCCTAAAGATATGCCATACTACGTAAACATACGGTTAGATAACCAAACTGACAACAAAATATATTTCAAATTCCAATCAAACCAAAAGTGGATGTGCTCTCCTGACTTACCACAAAGACGAGACCAATATGGAAACACCAACAACATAGTTTCAACAGAATTCCCAGTATCAAACGTACTTTCAGTTAAAGCTTGTCTTTTAAAACTGCATAAGGAATGGTCAAAAAGACAAATTGTATCTACTAATTTTGTACAGTTTGATGAAACAACGTATATTTTAAGCAAAACAGATCATATTACTGGGTTAATTTTATATTTTCTAGTTAAATCAGGCTTTATTGATGCCACACCATATTCTCATATTAATCATAAGCTTAAAGGTGATAATTTAAAACTCATAAGTTACTCTAGAATGATTGATGACGTGTCTGTCGAGCAGCAAATGCCGGAAGGTTTGCTTCATTATACGAGTGATCAACGATTTACGTTACTACAAATAAATAACTTGCTTCCAGGTACGTTGCTTATTTTCGAAACGACTACTTTTGGTTATTACCCAAATATAAAATTGATAAATAAATCAGCCAAGCTAGTCAGCGATATTCATTTAAATTATCTTTTATGGTCAGCAGAACGAGAAGAAATAAATCGTAATTCTAACGTTACTGCGCTATTCAGTTTTCCAGATATTAGACCAGTAGCATACGCTGGTATTGTGGGCGCTGTAGACGCTATAAATGAATCAATTCGGGAAATAATTGCAAAACGAAAAAACACAAAAATGCTAGAGTATTATGGTTTTTTTCAAGACGAAGTACGCGACAACGACTATATGACTTATTTCAAAAACAGATTATTGAATCATCCATTTTCACACACGGACATGGATTGGAAGGGTTTTGTTACAGATACGCTGACAAATTTAGAAGAACTAAACAACTCGAGCTCCATATCGTTTTATTTTTTCATTCGAGAACTGTATTACGCTTTGGTCCGGGCTTTTGTGCATAAAAAACTTTCTAGACTAAGGTATATGGAAACTTACATGGATGATTTGCCTCGAATGTTGTTGTTAGCATCGACTCAGTTTACAGGAATAGTAAATGACACACAACTATCTAAATCTGTACGATTTTCCACAAGTGCTGGATTACCGCACTTCGCCAATTCCTACATGCGTGAATGGGGTAGAGATACGTTTATCAGTGCGCCTGGCTTGTTTGTGACAACAGAACGTTTTGACGAGCTTGAATCAATTATAGTTTCATATTTGCAAGTGACCAGGCATTATTTGGTTCCTAATTTGCTAGATGGAGGTACAAAACCAAGGTACAATTGCAGAGATGCAATTTGGTTTTTGTTTTACACCACTATTTGTTACGACAAATATTCACCGCGATGTATTGATTTTTTGCAAACTTACGTTGAAGCTGACCCATTAAAAGGGAAAAACAGCACGGAAAAACGCAAATTTAAGATTATTGATCTTTTAATAAAACTTTTATTGATTTATGAGGAAGGTATTGATTTTATCGAAGAAAATGCAGGTCCTGAGATTGACGAGCACATGACAGAGGAAGGTTTTCATATAACTTTGAAAAAAGATGAAAATTCATTCATTGTAGGAGGAAACAAACACAACTGTCTAACGTGGATGGATAAAATGGGGAGTTCCGTCGAAGCTAAAAACAAAGGTGTTCCTTCTACATCGCGCAACGGCGCACCTATTGAGCTTACAGCACTTTGCTTATATTCGCTTCGTTGGGTGTTATCTTTGAATGAACGTGGAATTGTGAATTTATCCAGCTCAGTTTATGAATATCTTCATTGCTGGAAACGCGATTTAGAAAAAAACATAAGCGTGATGTACACGACTAGAAAACGAACGATTTTTTCAAACGAGGAAGAAGAAATTTACATAAACGATTTAATAGGCTGTGCTGATTTCAGTCAAAACGATTTATTGCGGCCCAACGCGCTTATAGCTTTAACATTGATTCCAGATGTATTTGACGAAGATACAATAATATCCCACATTTTGCTGACTAAGAAAGAACTGCTTGGCGACCCGAAGCAGATTGGAATTAAAACACTAGCGCCATTTCATTCACTTTACGTTCCTTATTACGATAACTACAACAACTCAACAGACGCTAGCACGGCTCATGGGGCCAGTTACCACAACGGCCCCGAATGGTTGTGGATATCAAGTTTCTGGTGTTCCGCTATATGCGCTCAAAAAAAAAACCGCAAAATTCAGCAGTTGTTTCCGAATTTAAACATGCTTATAGGACATTTGTTTAGCAATCAGGAGAAAACAATAAAACAAGGACCGTGGTATTCTTTGCCGGAGCTGACTAACGCGAACGGTGAATATAACGTGCACAGCTGTCAAGCGCAAGCCTGGTCAATTAGTTGCTTGCTGTGGTTTTTTTTCGAAACTTTAGAATATAAACGCGAGCAAGACATCTCATCAAAGATTTTTATCAAAACACAGCAAAATTATTAAACATAGTAGATTTATATGAGAATTTATGATAATCACATAGTCTCTGTTTTTTTTTCGTTATTGACACTTTCATTAATTGCTTGTGCAATGGTGGCAAGCAGGTCTGGCACTTCAACAGACACAGTTTGTCGTCTAGAATGCGTCATATTACGACGAGGTAGAGTGGTGGGGTAATTATCTTGGTCGTTACAATCAGAAACACTGGACTTGTGTTTTTCTTCCGTAGATATACACTCGCTGGTCACGTTAAAACTGTTCGCTTTGTCTCTATAAGACGATTTAGGAAGATTGATAGACGGCGATTTGGTGTAATTAGAATTGTATTGAAAACAGTCTCTTTCTTTGTTTTTAATGTAATCATCTAGTTTAATGTACTGGCTGACGGTTGCTTCGGGCGAAATTTTCATGGCATTTCCGGTATCCATACTAACGCTTTTGTTCATGAATTTTAAAGGAATTTGAGAAATTTGTTGAGGTCCATTCATAAGATAGAACTTTTCATCATCGACAAGGCATGGCTGAAAATCATTTGAGCTGTTGTATAGAGGTTGAATATGTTGAGGCGTTTCTTGCACAACGTAGTAGAAGTTTCTACCATCTGTAAAACATTGTAAAGGCACCTGAGTATGAAAAGTATTATTAACACATCTAGCAATCGTGCGTGGCGGACAATTATAATTATGTGTATTAAAAGTTCCAATAGGTTGCATATTTGGCGCCAGTCTGAATTCCCGATTCAAGCTCAGATACTTATAATCTTCGTCGTAAAAATTCTTATCATTGTTTTGATAGTTGGTTGGCTGTACTGTAGTCAAAACAGTTTTAGCTTCGTCAAATTGCTGATTGATTTTGTCGGAGCCAGCGCTGTTTTGATGTTGGGGGTCGTGAACATTCGTAGCAGGTTTGAAAATAGTGTTTGACTGTGAGTTAGCCAGGCGTTCTGGATCGCAAAAACTGTTATAAGAGTTAAAGCTTGACGAACAGTAATTCTTCACGGGATTTCCTTGAGGTACGCAATCGGAATAAGATTTCCACTGATCAGGGCATTCGCCACATTCATGATGATAATTAGATTGATAAGGAGACAGATTTATTTTTTTTCGAAGGTCTAGATCAGATCTATCACTTTTATTTAAAATATTTGATAATGAGTTTGAGATGGAATCAAACGGGACTGAAACGTTAATCAACTTAATAGATTTATCAGTATTACTGACTGGACATCCAGACTCGAAGTTACGCTTTGAGCAACGTTCGCAACATAGAAACTGAAACGTGCCATTTGAGAAGTCGCGTTTACCATTGTATTTACCTTTTTGTCCAGACGATTTATTAAGGTTTGCTCGATTATTATGTCTACGTTCGTGTTTTTTGGTAGTATCACAAAGATGAGCTTCAATCGAGTGGCTTTGCTGAGTATGGACCTCATTTAGTTCTGTTTGAGTCCCAGTACTCAAAGGATCACGAACTAGTTTTCTAGAATTTAGCGAATTGCGTTTATTGAGTCGATTATCTAAATAGTTAGGCCTTCTTGAGTAGATAGGCGAATTCATTTTACTTTATAGTTTATTTAAACAATCAGACGTTCTTAGTGCATGCGGTAAATTATAATGCAAATACTTTGAAAGACGAAGCATGTAATTCTGAATATTTTTTTTGCGCGATGCATAATTAACGTACTATATATTTTGCTGTTTTTCTTTCCATTCAATATATTTAGCAATAGCTTTTTTCGTCGAGTGAAACTTAGGTTCAAAAACATATAATAACTCGTTGTCATCTAATAAGTATTCAAATGACGTGATGATTGTGATAAAGAGTTTATCCTTTTGTTTACAGTTTTCTTCTAAAGCTTCGTAAAAAACTGATATATCTTTCTCATTGAAAATTAGCTCTTCTAACATATCTTCAAATCCGTATTGTTCAATAAAAAACGCAGCTTGCTCCGATGATTTGTCGAAAATTTCGTCTATCATTATAGAAACGATACCACGAATTAGGTCGGTGTGGTCCAACATAAACGATATGCGTAAATTTTTCGCTTCCATGAGCAAATATTTCCTGGGTAAATGTGACGATTCTACTATCAACTCGTACAGTTCATGTTTAAAATCACTAAACGCTGTCGATCCCGCGTTTGGTCTATTTAACGATTTGTCTTTTTCAAATTCGTTTTTTTCATTTTTTTTTTCATCTTCTTGCTCTTCTTTTTCACTGTTTTGTTCTTGTAGTTCGTCCCAGGAAGAAGAATCTGCCTCAAAAAGAAAATCAACGACATCCTGAATATGTTCACCAAATCTACTATTCTTAGATAAAAAAGCAGGTTTGCGGCTGAAATTTAAATTTGCTACTTCGTTTTCAGTAAGCTTGATAGCGTATATAGTTGGAGAAAGTTCGATTACATCCGGCTTACCGGCTTCAATAATTTTTTCTACAATGAATTTGTCACTTGTGATAAATAAATTAGAAAATTCGAGTTTTGGTTCTGAGTCGAAACAAACATCTGGACCAATTATGCAGTTAGAAATAGAGTTGGACAAGCATAAGTTACAACCAGGTAAAATGACTGAATTAGAAACAGTACAAGTCTGATTAATCGAGGTGTTTGAAAAAATAAACGCATTTATAAACCTTTTTTGATCAAAATCTGCGTGTTGTGCCCGTACAAAGTCGCTAAAAAATAAACTATTGCTGTTTTTGTCGTAAACAAATTCTGAAATCACTTGTTCATGCGTCGAGCTATCTAATTGCTTAACTGACATTTTTATGTTGTTGAATAGACAATAGAAAGATTTAATATTGAGAGTAAATTCTTTATCCGGTTTATGTGGAAAAAGAAATATAGAAGGCAGGCTTGAAACATCACAATGGGCGTGTTTTAGTATGTCTGTCACGTCTTTAAATTCTTCAGAGTAATAAATAGTTTCAATAGCGTTATTCGAAAAAACTTTTGGTGAGTAAAGAATTGATGAATCGATAGATGATCGTAAAGAATCAGAATATGCTCTAGTTAAAATATCATTTTTAATATCTAGCACATTGTTTTTAAGTTCTGTATCGTCAGATTTACAACATTTAGACCAGAAGTAAAATTCTTTTCCGTTAGGATTGGTTAAAATAAATTCGCATAATTCGCCATACGTTTCATATTTTTTTTCATTGGTTATTGAAATCATTAAAAGCTCAGTCGACTGGCTCTTGCAAACCGTCGTGAACTTATGTAACTTTTGGAAGCAGTCGAGTTTTATGTGAATGGGATAAACAATAATGCATCCATTTACTAACTTATTGTAGTGAGTTTTCAAGAGCAATTTAATTAGCTCAATGTCATTAATCAGCTTATCGTCTAGAACAAAATCATAAATAGTGAGCTTATGCTTAAATTTTTTAATAATTTGCTTATATAATTTATTAAAGTAAGGGCTGATTTTTGAAGCACAAAAAAATACAGTTCTGCCTCCAGCCTCATAGTAATCGGTCAAAGTCAAAACCAATGAGTGAGTTCGTTTTTTTGCTAAATTAAACTGACCAATTAAATACAGAAAGACGTCATCTTTGGTGGATGAAATTGCTAACTGACAATTTACAACTAAAGGTAATATTTCGCTCATCTAATAAACAAAAACGTTAATTATGGATTAATATAGAAATAAAAGACAAAAATAATTTTAAATATTTAGCTAGATTAAATCCTTTAAAATGGGAACTAAAGCAAATGTTATCTATTGTTTGGACGCAATTTGATCGATTAAGGATGAATATTATGCATGGCAACAAGCTAGCTGAAAAACTAATTTTTTTTTTTTCTTTTACGGTTCGAAGTGAGATTTATTTAACTAAGATATATAAGTTCGTCAAAAAACTATATACTCGTATCAATTCTTATTTTAAAAATTTTTTTTATAATAATTCGGTTAGAGCAGACAGTAATAATACGTTAATACAACTTGGAAGCCTGAATCCCAATGTGATTAGTCAGTTTGTGATTTTAATTAATACACATTTCTTGATTTTTACATTTCTACCATTATTTACAATTTTGATCATTCAAAGATTTAATTTATCATCATTATTAGTGTTTAATGGATACCATGAAGTATTATTTTTGACATGTTTTTTAGTAAACGTGGTTACTTTGATATTTCGGGCATTGTCGCTGGCTAATATTTTGACTTACAATAGCTTAAGTTCCGAAGAATTTCTGAGAATACTGCCCCACCTAATTACTGCTTCGAATTGGGAAACAAATATATGTTTAGTACTGGTAAATTATATTTTGAGTAGTTTCTGGTTTTGCACATTGTGGATTTACAAAAGAAATACAATCAAACCTCATCTTAAACTCTTTAGCTATTTGTTTTTTATCAGTACTTTGGTGAAATTTGTTTTGACGTGTATTTTAATGAACTTATATTTCAATGTAAATTTTGATTTAAGAGGTGGAATAAATAATAGTAAAATTTATAGAAAATTAACTAAAAAAGACTTTGATAGTTTGAAAGATCACAAAATAAAAGAAGCAGTGGTATGCGCTATATGTTTAGATACTATTAATGCGAACGAAATTGTCAAGAAACTCAGAAATTGCAACCATGTGTTTCACAATAGTTGCTCAAGAGTCTGGTTGTAAGTTAATGTTATGAAAAATTTTTAGTTTGAAAAGAGGACAATGTCCTTTGTGTTGGAATTCAACATAATCTCAGTTAAAATTATATTTGAAATCTAATCTACGCTAGTGTGCGGATATTATATCTGTGTAAATAGTGCATAAATCTTCACACTTAAAGTAACTCTTCTAGATTTATATACAATGATTTCAAAGATTACTTTGCTGTGCTTTTCTGTTTTGGCAGTTCCAAACTATGAAGACAGAGTATCAAGTTTTATTATTCCAGATATTGTGTCCCAAATAGTTAATGAAACTACACAGAACATTCCACTGACTAGAATCGTTGAGCCTGTACTTTCAGGAATCAGAAATACAGCATCACAAGAACTAAATGCTATTACCAAATCTTTAAACGGTCCAATAATCTCAAATAGATTCAACAACATCATTAAACTATTTTACCCAACTGAAACGCTTTCATTTCTTTCTTCTCCTGAAATTGGAAATTATAGATTCAATAAAGATGGTATTCAAAAGACCGATCTAGACATGAACCAGGTAGTTTCGGATGCAATAACTTTAGGTATCCCCATTTCTATTAAAACAATCGTCGGAGGACTTAACTCGATTTTGCCCAACACACTGGGACAAAACATACGTCAATTGCCAATACAAAATATTTTCCCAACCCTTCTCGAAAGAATTGAGTCCGGAATATTTAACCCAATAAACCTATACACTAGTGGCGATACCAACGTACACAAGTACATCCATAGCGCAACCGAAGAACAAATTCCGCGTGCTTTGAACAACGCTCATCGAACTGTTTTAAGTGGTAATCAAATGGTCAATTACGAATTGAAACCGTACTATAACCCCCACACAACAACTGCAGAATGCATCATATCCAAGACAGACGAAATTATCATTGAAAACAACACTACTCCAGAACGAACCGTTTACAATTCCTACCCAGTGGACATTGATTATTCTGACATTACTAGACCTAATGAAGTAGAAACTACAACTTCACAATACACTCAAACCACTAGAAAAGATCTTACTGACACTACATACCACTCGACCACCTCCACGATTGATACTACCAGCACACATCCTGTGACTACGGAAGCAACTTTCACCACAGCGAATGAAACAAAACCTGTTTTCATCAATACCACTAACCTAGGTTCTAATGATGAAGCTGTACCACATGTTACTGAAAACACACAAAGTTTATCAAACAACGAATCTGAATCTACTACTAACGCTGAATCTCGTCAACTTCAGGGTGCGATACCTTCTTTGTTACCTTATGTCGATATTCCCATCATCGGATCCCAATTTTTAGATCACGTAAGTCAAATTCCTCTACAGATTATTAACATTCCTGCCAACATTTTAAACGGTGAAACTCTGGGCAATCTCAGCAACCGTACTTTAGGCTTAGCCACCAGTGTCAATCGTATGAGCGGTGAAGACGCTGCATTACCAGGCAATTTGTTGAATGGCGTTTTGAACGTTGGAAATAGACTTTCTCAACTTCCCCAAACACTTCTCAGAGTAGCTCCATTGTTTCCTTTAGACAATTAAATTAATAATGTGTGATTAGATCATCATTTAATGATGTTTCATATTAAGCTAACCCTAAAATTGACTTTATAATTTAATGGGAAATTACTAGTTTGTATTAGTAATTTTAACAAGTCGATTTAACTATTATTTTTTGTTTTTATTGCAATTTATGGATAATTTAATGTAAACTCTATAAGATAATTTAAAATACTTGATAATTCAGCAACTAAAATTGTTATAACAAAAATCTCGTAGTGTATTTATAATTGTTTTTAGGCAATAATCAAGTCTTCAATAATAATTTAACAAATTTTTTTGCTCAAAGAGTTTCGATACCGGATTTCTTAGTATTATAAATTAACTAACTATTAAAAAGCCAGCACTAAATTTATTAATGTTAACCAATTAGTTAAGACGTAGTCGAATAGTTTATTTGCAAAGAAATTCAGGATAAGTAAAAATTTGAATTAATTTCTATTTCTATTTTTAGTATTTGTCAATCAAGGTTATATCAAATTGTATTATAAACCATTCTCACTGTCAAAAGCACTATTAATGACGGCAACACAATCTGCTCGGCGTACAAAAAAAAAGACAGTAGAGCAGCTCTTAGGACCAACTGAAACGCTCTCAACTAGCCACTACAAAAAATTATTTACTGACAAACTAGCTAAACATGCAGTAAATAGCTTTTCTTTACAAGAAATCGATCAGTTTCAAATCTTTTTTTTTGCATTAAGTTATCAATTAGTACAAGTAAGTTTAAAAACGATTAATTAATTTTTAGATAAATCAATTACCAAACCATTGGTTGATTAACATAAAAAGATTTATACAGGCGTGCGATAAAGTCTTTGATAATATTTCTAAGAATATTCAAGCCGCAGATGTCATCTCGCCTATGACCAAATATTTTAATTTTGATTTTCTGAAACTTGGAAATACATTTTTAATTAGTACGAAATTAATTTTTACTGAAATTGGATTACGGAAACAATTGGTTCAACATAGCACAGTTCTAGATAATAATCAACCAAGTTTATTGCTTTCAAAAGAAGATATACCAACTCAGATCATATCTGTTCCAATGAGTAATGATTTGGAGAACAAAGAATTTACGTTCAACTCTCCTAAAACTATAAAATCAAAAGATTTAAAGATAAACATCGACAGTTTTACTCCAAGCAGTAGATCTACAGTAGATTTTTCAGAAATGAGTATTAACTCTGAAATAGTTTCAAAAACAGCTAGAAAAGCTAAAATTAAACCAGCAGAGGTAAAAAAAAAAACTAAAACTGCAACGTCAACCACTAAAAAACGGCAAGCTAAAAAAGATAGTGACGATGAAAATCTTGTAAAAAGTAAACCAAGGCGCAAACAAACTAGTAATGATAGTGAAAAACAAACAGAAGACGATGTTCTAATTGATGGATCATTAGTAAGCAAAGAGAGCTATGATATTTTTGCTACCCGATACATATCAATTTCAGGAAACAAATGGACAGTTCAGCTCTTAAGCAATGATAAAGAAACTCATTTATCTCATTCGTTCACATGTGAAAACTACGAAGCTGGTTTATATTTGGCCAAGGCTTATAAATTTAAAATTGATAAACAAACCCAAACACCAAACGATATTCTAAACTTAGCTGACCCCTACAGACAAATTAGAGAAGAATTTCGTAACGTATTGCAACTGAACAATTATAAGTGGGACGCTAAAACTGAAGATATTTACAAAAAATATCATGAATCAAATAATAAAAACGATAAAGCAACAATAACAACAACTTCACCTATGACTGTTACTAGTTCTTCTAGCAATTTTGAACTCAAAAAGAATTTTAACAAGTTAAACAACAAAAACTCAAATAAAGACACTGTACATCCATTTAATTATTCATGGAATAATTGTTTTAAAACAGTGTTTGGAATTTAGTAATAATAAAAATTAATGTTACGTTTTGCATATATATCTAAAAAAATCTAATAAATTTTAAGCAGTATGAAAAAATGATACGTCATTTTGGCGTTTATACACATAACTAATATGAGATCAGTTCTTTGCTAAGTTTTTTTGCATAGTCTAATTGTTTTTGGATGATCTTAGACAGTTCAGAGCTTAGCTTATTATGGAAATGTTGAAACTTAGTTGAACGACGAGTGCGTTTCTTTTTTACTACTATTGATTGAGGCTTTTCAGAAGCTGGAATAAAGGGAGTCAAGTCACCGACATCGTCGTAGTCTCCATACATTTCAGTTGGACTTGAATACTTTGGGTTTTCCACTACACTAAACTTGTTTTTTTTTACAAGCATATTGTATTTTGGTATAGCAGCTTGACATTTTTTAGATTTAGGCATAACATTTTTAATAGGTTTAAGTGGTATAGGTGTTCTATCTTCGGATTCTGGTAAATTATAATAATCGATAACTTTGTGTCGCATAGCGTTTAATTGTGGAGTTGACATGTTCAGTATATCTTTACAAAGGACTTTTTCCTCAATCTTTGCTTCAGCGTGGGTTCGGTCATTTATATGAAATTTAGTCGACTCTGTTGATAAAACTGCAACTAGTTTCATCAAAACGTTGTAAAACTCTTCCAATAGTAACTGAACCTGGAACATTAACATAGTTGGGTAATCCAAAACTTTCGCTGTGTACTTGTTTTTAAAATGGTCCTTTATAAATAGAATCATATTTTGTAATTGTTTTTCATTCATACCTGAATGTATTAATGATTCGACTAAGAATTGAATTACAAATCTGCGAGTAAAAAACGTTTTACGGATGAATTCAGATGAAGATTTGAATTGACTCTTCGGTAATTGATTTTTGTTTTTATTAACAATTTCATAGGAATTTTCCGTATAAGCTAATACCTGTTTTTCGTAATTTTCAGTTTGATATCTGTCATTCATGAATCCGCAAATGTTGACATAATTTAAAAATATGTTGAAATCCCAAGCATATAACCCAGTGGCAAAACTTCTAGCGAGCAATAAAATTCTCTTATTATATTCGTCCCAGAAACGATAAATACCCTGATGAGGCCAACATATTACAGGCAATCTAGTTTCTTGCATCAACTCGGTCTCATACAGTACAAACTTAGTATTTATTTTATTCTCTCCTGGGATTATATAGGTATTTGGTACTGGATCAACTTTTTGATTTTGTATTATAAATCTATCTCTGTTTTTAAATTTATCGTCTGTGAATACAGCGTCCAAAATTTCTTCGATATTTAATAGTCTTTTTATAGGTTCAGCACCAGTCGACCAAATGGGTAACTTGTTTATGTGTTGATTGAATTTATTTAAATCATTTTTGTTCGTTTCTTTTATAAATGCTGTTGTTGGAAACATAAAGTTTTGTTTTTTATGATCTATGGCTGGTTGATCGGGTGAGATAGAATCTGGTACGGCTACTAAATCAGTTTTTCCAATTTTAACTTCAGTTCGAATAGATTTTATTTGGTTATGCCATTCTGAAAACAATATAAACTTTTTCTTCCAAAGTTCTTCGCGTTTATTCAATAAACTTTTAACATCGTCGAGTTGTACTGCAAGTCTAACTGATTCATTTGTTTCACAAACTAAATCCTTTTCCAACTTAGTTATTTTAGCTATGAGTGTATTTATATCACGAACCGCTTCCATGTAAAAGTTAACCTGCTTCAAGTATATGAAAGTTTCTTGCTGTCGTTCTGATAAACAATAATAATCTACCATATCAAAATCTTTAATATATCGAGGATTTATAGGATAATAGATAGCTTTCTCGTTCAAACCAGTTAAAAAATTATATAATTTTGGTTGTCCACGTTTTCTAATCTCAGTAATTGTATAACTACGAGCATAAACGTCTTCATAAGATTCAATAAGAAATCGAAGCTTTGATGCATCACATATATATGAAAGTGCATTGGTGTATTTGTGCTTATTCAATCTATGTATTAATTTGAACATACCAATTATACAAAGACCATTTTGAGTATTTTCAACTTCGTCCGAAGAAAGAGATTTCTTTCGGTCTTCTTTTTCCTTAAGTCTTTTTTGATATGCAATAGTGTTTTGATGCGAAAATATTGGTTTTTTAATGTTTAGTTTCTTAGCATTTGCCATCACAGATGTATAATCGTCGACTATTTTTCCTGGATTTATATCAACCTTATCGTCAATATTGCTAACGATCGATATGAATGAGTCTTTATTAGAAGTCTCCGCAAACATTTCATGATTTTCGATTTTGTAATGATAATATTCTTCAACCAATTGTTCCAATGTCAATTCTTTGTAATCTATTTTTTCTTCTCTTTTACCAATATCAGCATTAAAATCTGCGATTCTTTCAGCTGAAACTTTATATTTAAATAAAGCACAGGATAAATCATCAATTTGTTCTAAAGAAAGTTCACCTTTGTTATGAAGATTTACCAATTTGATGAATGAAATAGTGTTAGTAGAAAGAGCGCGAGCATTTGCTAATTCACTTTCAAAGTCTGGATCATCATATAATTTAATGCAGTCAATAGCTCGATTAGTTAGTGATCTGAAGAATTTTTTAAGATTAACCAAGTAATAGTTATCAAAATTATCTTGTTCAAATAATTTACTAACGTCAGAAAAATGTTTGAACTTTGATCTCGTCATAACTGCGACAGCGATTTCTTTTGCAAAATTCCTGTAGATAGAATTGATAGATTTTAATAAAGTAATTTGGTTGTTTGTATTTTCATTATTACTGTTTGATGTTTCGTCAACACTGCATTTGATTGGTATAATTTTAGTTTTTTTGGAAGATGGTTTTTTTGCTTCTTTAATTATATTTGCCAACAACATAGTTAGATCTTTTCCCGAGTAAGATTTATAATGAATATCCGTAGGAATTTCCATCATATAACTAACTTCAGTTTCATATTCACCAGATATATTGATTTTGATCCGGTGAAAAGAAATATTGTTTCGTCGTTGAAAGTCAAAATCTAAATTCATTTCTGAAGCAGTAGATGATTTGGTATTATCAGAATCTAGTATATTGTTATCTTTGGTGTTAGTATTTACTTGTATTATTTGATCGTTTATCATTTTGCGATTGCCGTTGATCTTGTTTCAATAATATTAAAATTCTTAGATGTTTTGTGTAAGAACGTACATTTATGTGAGTGCAGTAAAACCTCATAAAGGGCAACACGACATTTATATTTTTTGCTTATTTATAGGAAAACTCGCAGACTAATGCATATATAACCCTTTACCGGCCAATCAAGGGTGAAAAAGATAAATTTATAATTAACTAAAGCCCCTGTAAGTTAACAAACTCGATTGGTCATTATATAACATAATAAAAATCAAAGAGATTATCACTGATTTAAAACTAACTCAAATAGTCTGTCACTAGGCAACTTCCATAAGCTCTCGTTAATTGTGGCGATTTCATCTTCAGACTCAGAATCAGAAGATTCTGATTCACTTGAATCACTATCAGACAAATTTTGTGTATTTAAACCAGATGCTAATATGTTATATTTATCAACCCACCATTCAGTGCAAGCGGGATCTGAATTTAATAATTCATCTTTTCCCAATGAATTAGATAAATTTTTTGATTTTATTGGTTCAGTTATTCCTAATCCAGACTTGCCTAACGTGTCTCCTTCCTTCCATCCACACTTTAATAAGTATTTCGCACCAAACTTTGAATTCATTTAATAATACTCTTTTTTATTTAAACTCAGCCTATAAAAAGGGAATAATATTTTTTTTCAAGGGGTTTTTTTTTATATTTTTTAAAAATAAAAAATAATACTTAATATTACTATTTTTAGTTCTTATTTTATGCAACAATCATTTTCTAATTTCTGCAAAGAAATAACAAAGATCATTTGCTGTCAACAAGATCCTACGTTCAATGAAACAAGCAGAAAAAGATCTAAAGAAAATTTGATTGAATTACTTATCGAAAATTGGGATACACGCGTCCAACTTTTAGAATTCTTTAGTGATTTTGAGGCAATAAAAGATCAAAAAAATTTTTTTAGTAATGAAGCAATAATATTTAATGATAATGAATCTAGTACAAACTTAGTTTTACAAGAAGCTTTAGATATATATTATCGAAGTGATTTATCTGAGGGAATCAAAGTTTTTAGTATAGGTTATTGGATACTAGGAAAATTATATAAATACAATAAAATTTCAGATGCAATCTACGATTCTTTTATTTATCCCATCTGTAATTGGAATAGATTCAACAAGTTAATTTTTTGTTTTTATTTTGCAAATCAATTAATAAAACAAAACCTTTTTCCAATAAAGGCATTATCCTCATCCATATTAGAAACTAGCAAATCTATAAAAAAAATACAACATTTACCTGAAGAAAATATAATATCTTTTCAAACTATTAAGTTATCATTTCCAGAGTTTAATTCATTTACATTAATTTTACAATCAAAAATTTCTTCATTAGAAATTGCAACAAAAGATTATTTAAATAATTTAAAAAACCAAGA